AATATTGTGTTTCTGATTAATTTTTTGTAGACACTTGATCGTTGGAGGGCACATATCGTTCAGCACAGTGAGCAGCTTGATGCGAAACTTCACGCACAACGATCGACTCAATCAGAACCTCAAATGTGTCATACTTGATGAGTTTGTAATTTATCATTAAAATGAACAACACACGCAAATACACCACACACACACACACAGAGAGAAACGCGCACACACATACACACACAAAGACGCGCACACACACACACACACGTGCACGCACGTACAGAGAAAAGCCATCGTTAGAATTGGATAGCCTGTACAAACGTTACTATAACAAGATCGCTTACATCAAGGGTTCCATGATGGTCATTCGTGATTTGAAAAATGCCAGGGTGAGTAGAATAAAAAACTGAAATGATCGATGAGATATAAAATAAAAGAATATTTTTAGATTTGATGGCAGTGTTAATAATTTTTATTACAAAATTGACTTTCATTACTGCTACTTTCGCTTTTACGACTAATTTTAGCATAACAAATTTTTATTTAAAAAAATTAAATTAACATTTATGATTTATTACCACGTAAAATGTAACGTTTTAGCTGGCAAGTTCGGAGGCAGTTTTGATTCTGACCAACCAGTCAAGTGAATGCCCTGATATTGAAGACACAAGTATGATGAACTGATATGCTTGAAGATGTTCTTAACAGATAATATTGAAATAATAAAATGGGAGCGAGATTGACGGCAGGATAGTGTAATGGTTAAGGTGCTTGTCAGCACTATGCACTGACCGAGTTTGAATGCGAAAGAAATCCACGCGATGTGTTTTGATGCATGTAAATTAACAAATAAAAAATTATTAAAAATGATAATAATTTTTTTTTTAAATGTTTGAAATTTATTCAATTTATTGAACAGAAAACATAATGAAAGCAATAGCGATAAAGAATTACTGTGGCCACGCTAAAGTGATACTGCAGCTGTTGAAGAGTGAAAATAAGGTATTGCTTAATTTTTATCCTGTTCTGATAAATTTTTGTTTTGGAAGAAAGTAAGTTAATTTAATTTATTTTTTGTAATAATTCAGAAATTTTGAAGATTTTTAAAATTTGTTTACTAAAATTGGATGAATTAAAATAGATTTAAAAGTTTAATATTACTTGTGAGTTTCAAGTTTAAAAGTATTGGTAAATTCAATAATAAATTAAGTAATGTAACAAGTCAGATGAAAATATTCAGTCAAGCTATAAAGATTTCTAAATGTGTAACAAACATGATTTTAATTAGCAAATTAGTTGATAACTGAAAGATAGGAACAAATGATCTGTGATTCTATTGAAATGCTGTATGACAAATGATGGCAAAAGATTTCTATTTGATTGTCAAGTACAACCAAAATGACGCTGTATAAATTGATGAGAGATTGATGGATTTACGTAAAATGTTACCAGACGATATGCAAGAACCTGCCATTTTGGACGAGTAGAGACCACATAATCTGCTTCACTGAGATGAAGATGGCCTTCATGGCAGCTGGATGTCTCGCTCCTGGCTTCTCCACATTTCTATCCAACCTTCTCCTCATGTTCTCTTACGATAAGAAGGTCATCACCTGAAGTTTCTTCTTGCTGATTTTATTCAATTTTTATTTTATAATTTATGAGTTTATTACTTCAATTAAATCTTATACGATAATTATCCTTCTTTCAACTGAAACTTGAAGAACGAATAATGCTTTTTTCTTAATAAGCTTTGTTCTCTAAATATACACGCGAGCCAACCAGCATTGTAACTGTGAAGTAACTGCTACCTGCTCAATATAAAACATCGTTGTTGGCAGAATCATGATCTGGAGAGTTGGCAAAACGAATACTTGAAGGGAGTCGACATGGAGGTGTACAAGGAGAAGTTCTCCACATTCTTCCACGATAGACCCATCTATGAAGTTATCAAGTAACTCCCACAATATTTTGATCGGTTTTGGCTATCAATTTATAGATTTTAGTTTTTTTAGGTTTTCTTTTTAAGCCAGAAAAAATAATGTAGAACACGAAACAGTATTAGGAAATAAATTGAAATTATGTAAGTATTTGAAAGAAAATACAAGCTATGGTCATGGTGCCACTATAAAAACAAAATAGACCTTTTAATTGTTTGCATTTCAATTGACACATGATAGCTTCTGTTACACGAGATTACGTCTGCTACTGGTTGCTGTTGTAGATGGATGCAATAATCAAAATAGAGAAAGTTCAAAACCAAGGTTGTATTACAAAAAACAGATATTTTACTAATACTAAATGTTATTAGTTATAAGTTTACATTTTTATTTGTTGTTAATAAAATTATTCAAATTTTTCAAAATTTTTCGTTTAGTCGTCAATAAATGACTTGTATTTTTTCGGGTGTAAATAAAATATTTATTTTTTCAATTAGATGCTTTTAAATGACTTGTATTGACTTCGAGCAGAATCATCCTGAACCCGAGCAAAATGAACGCCATCAGCCCGCAGAGTGTGGGCTTCTTCATATGCACCAGTGAGAAGCAGGTGAAATCCGTGCTGCACTACTGCTTGAGATGCCACTGCGCTGTGCCTGCCCACATGATCAAGCAATGTCCATGCTCTTCAGCTAAAGTTTCCTGTTCGTTTACATTTTTTATTTCATTTGTTTTTTGATTTGTTTTTAGAATCTCATGTTTGCCACAGTTTGTTCTTCGGTGTTTTTCTATTGGCTGTAGATGAAATTCACATAACATCGATGCTACATGATCGCATTTAATGCACCTGTAGCCAGGCCAGCAAAACGATTCTTAATTGATTGCAGCATGTGCCAACATTTTTGTCGCTAAAGCAACGAATCCAAATAAACTCTTAAATTGATTCGTACTTGTAATCAATAGCATACCGTGACAAAACTAGAAATTTGCAGTGAAGGGCTTAAATTTGCTAAAAAGAATTAGCGATTGTTAACATATTTTTCCGCTTACGCCAATGTACTTGTGTCTTGTACTGAATAATACTGAGTTTTTTGTTGTGAAGAGCGACTGAAAAAGTTTTTAGCACAAGTGTACAAATTTTTACACAATTATGTAGAAATTTCGGTTAACTTTGCCCTAATCCTACCAAGACTTTGCACTGCAGGGAGTTTGAGCCCTCCGGCAGCATATTAATGTGGCCGTTTGTTCTCAACCGAACAGTTCAGAATAAAAGCAACAGTTACAAAAGTTACGTCCTGCTGCATTGTTGCTTGCGATTGCATCTCAAACCATTCCTTCTGAACTTCCAACACCAGCCCACTCTCCATCCAAACGTTTAAAATTTTGTCAAGTTTTTTTTCTTAAATGACTCTGGGTGTACATGCACACCAGACACACTCAGGCAGTGGTGGATCTAGAGGGCCAGGGGAGCCGTTGTAAGCAGTTTTTGTATTAAAGTCAGTAAAAATCAAAAAGAAAGGTCGTCAGCCATAAAGGTTGGACCCCGGTCAACACATTGGAACATATTTAAACAAGAAAATAAAAAAAAGGGACGTAAGTTCAAGATTGCTAAAAATGCCTAGGCCCGCCGCTGCACTCACGCACACACACGCACGCACGCACGCACACACACACACACACACGCACGCATAGACCCACCGAAACGAGCACAACATTACACACGCAACAAACAATGACACTCACACACTTACACACACACACACTCACACACACACAGAGACATTTCGCACACATACGCGCATACATGCAAGCAAATTTGTATTGTTACGCAGGCAAGCAAGCAATATACTGAGATTTTTAAACGATTGGTTGCCTGTTTTCATAGCTGACGTGAGTGAATTGTGTCTAAAAGGGTTTCTGTAAATTATTTTTATTAATTAAAAATTTGTTTGAATTCTTGGACAATTTTAAACTACCTACTAGCGTAAATTGTTATGTTTAACCTCCAGATAAACTTCTATTGAAAGCTGAGGAACAACATGTTGGAAGGTTGGCTTGCATGTGCAGTGCACCAGTTTATTCCAATGATGAATCTTTTCTAAATATATTACACTAAAACATGTATTCTTAGTAGCATTCCATTGAGTTTTTTTTTCATCAAAATTTAAACTCGTTTTCTTGTTTTTAGTTGTAAAATGTTGTTGATTTCAATTCATCGATTGTGGATAAATGATGGTTGGAATGCGCGATGGATTACAATGGAAGGTTGAAAAATTGTAAAACGCGCTAGGTGAAAAAGAAATATTAGTTTCAGTTTGTGAGTCCCGGCCTCATCACACATACATTTCTTTTATTAGAATAATAAATTATTAATTTAATCACATGGAAACAGAGAAGACCAAATAATGGCCTCAATAGCCGAGGAAGTAAATGACCGGACGACCAATCGCAACAATCCATTAGATGCGTCAGCTTCAAGCAATCTCAACACAGCCGCCAATGAGTCTCCAGCCGATATCATTTCGAAATCATCACCGGCATATTCTCCACCGTTTGCTATGCCTAATGAACGTAATGGCAATAATTCAAGGACAGCACAAACAACGTCTTCAGAAATAACTCCAGCTGGATCGAGATCTCAGTTGCAAGAGACAGCACTGCAGTCTCAGGGATCAGCAAATTTAGGAGAATGTGAAAGTGAAGATGTCGGATTGTTCGATGTTACCGGTTTATTTTTCTGGTGTCCGTCCAAAAAGATGGACGATTGCTTGCTGGTTAGTTGGCCATGATCACAAAGATTGATTGATTGATAGATTTGACTGCTTATTATAAAAGTTTAATAAAAATTTTAATTACTTTTAGTGCAACTCGTGTTATCTTCTTTTTTTATTTATTTATTTACATGAGCAATTCTGCCTCAAACCCAGTGGCAGATTTAAGGAGATGTTGGGCTGCTCCAAAACTTTCGAAACTAAAAATTAACAAAAAAATATTAAAGTTCGAGGAGAACAAATGTGAAATGTATTTTAAACAGTAATTTTTTTTATTAAAATAAAATAATTATTATTCATAAATATAACTTTCACAATCAAATCATTGAATTATAAACTTTCAAAAAATTTGTTAGAGTCCTACACAGAATCAAGAAGTGACAAGGAAACTTAGAAATCATATAATATTGTGCTTAACTTATCGATCGCAGGTTCTTTTTATTTGAAATTTGTGTTTCAACTCTAGAAATCTCACCATAATCAGCCAAAAATAACATTTTTATATGCTTCCAAATAATTTGTAAAAATAAAAATGAAACTCACGCCAGGGTTCTCTCCGAAATTTTATTCTACCATTGAGATCCAGCTCTCTTATGAGTTCGCAGTTGCACACACTGGTCATAGTAGCCGAATCCAAGAAGTTCGTCGAACAAGAATGGAACTCTATAAAAAACTTCCCTAAAATTTACGTTAAAATTGTTAGTGTAGACCAATCATTTTTACAATTGTTTCACATTTTCATTAGCAAATTTTCGTTGAATTTTTGCAGTCTGTTTCATGTTATTTCTATACTCTGCTGCATAGCCTGCCCTCCAACATGCATGTAACATTTCCAAAATGCTCATCTTTCCCAACCAACTTTTAGATAAATTTTTCAGTTTTTGAAACTATTTCACTTTAATTTTCATAAAGTAATATGCATACATTAAACATACCAAAACTGCATGTATTTTTCAAATGGTACACTATCATTATTGCTATTGAAATTAATTTTTTCAAACGAAATTGTCACTAAAAAATGTCATCACTGTCAACTGAACGATGACGATGGCAGGGGTCTCCTCTCAACCGAGGCGTCTTAAGAAGCATCTTCATTGAGAAGTGCCACATGTGCGTGGTGCATTCCGTCCAAGCCAGCAATTCATCGGACTTGCCAATCGCTGCATCGTCTTCTGAAAATAAAAATTCGACAATATCTCAAGATGATAGCAAAGCACTGCTGATAACGTTGAATATAAAAAACATGACGTACAAGAATGCCTTATCCAAATGTAACAGCGATGCATTTGACATTCTTCACAAGCTATTGTATGCAAGAAAGGAATCTTGTTTCAGTAAGACGATTCAATTCACTTCTTTATTTCTTTATTTTTATTTCAAGTTTGAATATTTTATAATAACGATTTTTACAAATGACAAATCTCAAACATCTTGCAACCCTATTAAAATACCTTCAATTTGAAACCACCAGAGTTTGACACAGATGTCAACAACAATGCCAATGCCAGTGCAGTTGTTTCTGGCTCCAACTCCATTCCACTACTAACTGAACTGAGTAACTAACAAAAATTAATTTTTTAATATTTCCGTAGTTATTCTTATGCTTCATTTTCAATTATATAATAAAATTTCTGTCAAATACGTTTATTGGTTAATTGGTCAAAATCTGAATTTGTTTCCTAAAAATTTACAAAATATACAAAACAGTGAACGACGAGAACGTGCAGTTCATAGACCAGGATGATGATGACGACCCAGACACTCCATTCCACCTCACTCAACCATTTGCATGTGGGAGAGCTTTTGCTGCCAGAGTCTTGGATGCCCTTTCTACAAATGTTAAATTTGTTTTATTAAACATATTCCGTATAATAAATTTTGTTTTATTATTGAGTTCCATTGTCATATAATTTTAATATCCAAATCGTTGTGCCCACAACATAAGTTCTTTTTTGCTTTTCAATAAAAATAAATGGCTGACGAAAGTTTAAATCATCGAACGACACACAAAATAAGATGATCTTCAACCCTGAGACCTACGACCTGGTACGATTGTTCGTGTCCGGCACAGATTCCGAGGAGCATGACCATCTGGTGACTGAAGGATTCGCTGAAAAAAGTTGCCAGATGTCTGCCGAAAAACTGAAAACCATTAGAAATCGATCCCGAATAAAATTACTGCCTGTTGATTCGGGAATTTTAAAAGAGTACTATGTAAGAGAAAGAATTTTATATTTTTTCATTTTTTTATTATGTAGTTGCTTTTAAGAGTCTCAGCCAAACCTCGATCTTTAATGTTGTCTTAAATCCACGTGTCTTTCTAGATAAACCGTTTGAATTACCATCAACATTCTACGTTTATTATCGTTAACATCGTCAACATTAACCTATCACTGTATAAATATTTTTACGACATTCCAGAAAGACACATTTGAGCACCTTTTCACAAACTCCCTCTTCAACCACGGCATCTTATGCATCGGCATTTACAGATTTATTGACAGCGACACCATCGATCTGAAGAACCGATTCATCATCGCCAACCCACCGCCTGATATGGCGGTCAGAAATTCTGACCTGGTTAGTGCTCATTATTTAAAATTTATAAAACGACTTTATTCATCAATAGTTAAATTGATGGACAGTTTAATTTGATAGTTGTGCAAAAATCTGCCGGTACCAGCAAGGTTGTTATCTTTCAATGACACTAACAAGAGCATTAACATGATGACAAATGTATTTATTTATCAACATATTAAGGTTAAAGTTGTAATATAAAACGCACGGTAAGAAGAACTTTTTAATATTTTAGAAGGAAAAATTTTAGATGAATGAGCAGGTGGTAGATAGCAAAACTTATGAACTCGCTTGACATTTTGTTGAAATAATTGTCAAACATGAATTGATCGGAGGTACCTGTTTATTTTGTTGAAAATGATGATAGGGTAAGAATGATTGTAGATAGAATGCATTAACTACAAGTAGTCAGACTAACAGTCTTAACTTCTATTTCTCAGTTAACGTGCCACACGTCCAAATTTATTGATAACATAACTTATTTCTTACCAGGCGTTTCATAGCCTTTTGAAAGGTTTTGTTTGTTGTCGTAAATTATTAAACATTAAGGATGCGTTTAAAAGTTGGTGAGCGGCAAGTTGTTAACGAGGAAAGTAAATTTTCATCATCATTTCGTCATGCTTCTATCATTTCATATCATCCCGTAACTTAAACAAATTTGATTTCAATACTGTCACAATTTCCCCCCAACCTCCATGCAGATATACTGCTTATGCCCGTACACGCTGCTGGTGTAAGGAACGACTACAGCCTGATGTTACGTTCCTTTTATTCTATCCATCAATGCCAGTTGGAAGAAACATCATTCGTTTGACGTTTTTTAGCTTAATAAAATGTTTGAAACAACATTTTTATCGTTTTGAGAGATATCTTTCAAGATTTTTTTTTATCAAATATGATTAAAAACATAAAACCAACAAATAAAAAATACTTTTTTTTTAATTTGACTAACCAAATGACCAATGCTATAGTAACGATGGTTGCTGAAGTGATGTTTTCTATTGGTGTTTTAACATTTTAACATTAACGTTGTTTTGTTTTACTAATTTTAATAAATTTTTTAAAAATATTTATGTGTATCAACACTTTATAATAGAATTATCATTGATGTTATTTTAAATGTTGTTAATGGCTAATGCAAGTTTTATTTTAATGTTAACCTTTTTTAAATATTGTCGTGAAATATTTTGTTTCAATTATTTTTAACTATTTCATATTTTCTGTTTGAAATCGAAATAAACAATTCTAAAAATAACTTCTATGATAATTTTTTATACAAATTTAAAACGTTCAAGCATATGTCAACATTTTATCTTCAAATTGGGATGTAAAAATATCACGATATATATTAGCAGAAATGAAAGAAATTTAGAAAAGTGATAACATGTTTATGAAAAAAGTTTAAAGTAATAACATGAGTTCGTGTTTTCTTTTGGCTGATGTTTGCAAGAGGAGAGGACAGTTTGATAGCCTCTTATGTGGTGTGCTGAAGTAAATTATTGGGAACCAGTTGAAGGCAGCAAGTGGGAAACCGACATGGAAAACAAACACAAAAAAGACAAAATTAAAAATAAGAAAACTACATTTTATGTCATATTTACAAAGATAACAGGTTAAATAAAAATCAAAGAAGTGTTTTTCTCATAGTTTTACAAACCATTTACTTGTTGGTCTTCCAGACATTTTCGACTTTATTAAACCCTTATCTCCTTTACACACGTTGATGTTTTTATATGCTGAACAATGAATGAAATATTTACGCGTCTAACAGCTGCCAGGGTTATCTGCGTTTGAACGTGACCATGACGAAGAAGCGCTCATATCATTAAATCGGTTGTGCTTAGAAATTCTCTTCAAACTCTAAATGGTTGTGCAGTTACATTTGGCAGCCTTGTACTTAACTTCTGCAATCAGCTTGCTGATTATTTATTTAAGCGAAAAATTGAAGTATCAAATGAAACTTGAAAACACACGTAAACGGAAATGAATTAAACTAAAATATTTTATTTTGGAGGTTATAAATTTTGAGAATATAAATGAGAGCCATACTAAGTTAAACTATGTATGAACAGCATATGAGACAACAAAAGCCCTGTTACTAAGAAAGCTAAAGCACTAACAAAAGTATTTATTTATTTGCATGCGCAGTAACTTGCATGTCAGTTTGATAGTTTCATTGTTATTATTTAAGACTTTTCAACGTTGAGCAAGCAATTGATATTTGCCATTTAAAATACACTGTATCGTGTGTTTTTATCGCAAATATTTGATGAACAGCGAAACATCTAGTGGCAGACCAAGATGGATATGAACAGTTCAAAAACCGACCGCCCAAACATCTGGACGGCGGAAAGTTCAACATGGGACTCCATCCTCATCACTTCTGATCAGCCGTCGAACGATTATTGCACTAGGGTGCTTACTTGGCCCTACGCCATCATTCCGTGCGTCGTCATACTTTTCAGTGGCCCGATACTCATTTTGGCATTTAGATTGCTCTACAGAGCTTTTAGAGAGATCAATTTCATAAGAAAAAATAAGAAATCAGCTTCCATGTACAATGACAGGAGAATGACGGTTTCCGAGAAAATGAATGCCTTCTTCAGTCAGGGGTCCAACTTGAATTTTGATCATGACGATTATGCAGATGAAGACGAGGAAGTGGTAGCTGGAGCTTTGGAAGGAAAGTCGATGATCACAATACTTTTCATTCGTATTAAATATTTTTGCGTAAAAATCACATCATTTCAAAATGCTTCCGGAAAAATATTGGTATATTATTAACTTCTATATTTTGATTTTTTTGTTCTTTTATTAACAGTTTTTTTAAATTTGTATCTATACGACTAAACTGTTTTTTAAGCATTTTTAAACTAAAATTCATATTTAAATTTTTGAAAAATTTATTTTTAGGTTACGCTGTCTTGTGCACTCAGCATAATTTCATTGGTCCTCTTCTTTTATGATGCTTGCCAGTCAGTTTTCAATTAACTCCAACACTAACTTGCTATGAACTTGTCTAATAATAATTAATACTAATTAATCGCTAACAATTTATATAACAACGTCTCATCAATTGCCAACACAACGTACAGCACTACACATATTTTACGTATAAAATAACTTTTTTTGTTCTACACTTCAGCAAGTGGTAAATAAGCAATAACAGTTTTGCACTGAAACCAAGTCAGTTCATCTTATCGGCAATAAAATGCGTTCTAATTTGCCGAGCCATTACGCGTATCGACAAATATTTATATGTGAATTATTATAAGATTTGTATGCTTGGAAGTAATTTTTTCCAACACATTAGACACGTCATGTTTATAGAATATGTTTTGTTTTCATAACATAATTTTGCAACTTAATAATTCAAGAGAAAATGCTATCGAGAAAGAATATCTCGTTACGATTATGGCTGCAGATGTCATCGACCTGATATGCAACTTCTACTTTCTACTGCACTTTGTGATCAAAGTTTGTGACGATGATGTTTAAAACAAATCATTTCATCGCATCATGACGTCAATTGATTCTTCAGTCTCAGTAACTCCTGTTAAAAGAAAGACAAAAATTAATGAAATTCAGTACGTGGCAGCAAGCGACAAGTTGAGGTATTGGCTGCAACTGACGTCAGTCGTCGACATGTTCACCATTCCTCCGCTCCTGGCTGCCATCCACCTGAAGAAACATTGGATCGGTTAGGGTTTTTTCGAATTTATAAAAACCTATAATTAATAAAATCTAATTAAAAATAAATAAAATTTAATAAAAAAATTTAATTTATAAATATATAAAGTTTAATTAACGACAATAAGGGCAATTAAAAAAGTTTGAGCAAAGCCCAAACTGCAGATTATTGAAAATTGTGAAAAAATTAAGAGTCCTTCATGTTTTCACTTCTAAACGGAAAAAAGTGTTAGGGCTGAAATTTCGAGAAGTACCAAGAAGTAAATTTTATTAAAATTGTATAAAGTTGGCCAACATTTGCAAGAAAATAAATACTTTCAGATGTAACAGTTACTGAAAATTTCCTCTGACTTTCCACCGTGTGATTGGACGAGGCAGTTTAAGACCATGGTCACTACTAAGCTAAAAGAGAATTTTTTCTGCATCAATGCCTTGTTTTTTTTAAGTTCTAAACGTGATGAGTAGATAATAAAATTTTATGTTAATGTAATATTGGCAATAAAATTGATTGTAATATCAGTCAATGGTCACTGCAGTCAGTATTGCCTACCTACATGAATTGCAAATATTTTATAAAAATTCTCTGACGTCAATAGACTTGTTAATGTTACCAAGCGATTTGGCTCTATTGTCACGGCTGAGATATAAATTCTTTTGAACAATCGCTGTACATACGGATTGATCGCACACTTCATTGTGTTGCACACACTCGCACGTGCACACACACCATTGTCACCTTAATTAAATTAAGGACTTAACAGCGCTTAATGAAAGCTGAAGTTTTTGATAAAAGCGATCGGGAGAATGAGCTGGGTGTTCACGAAGACAGCAGAAACTTTCAAATAAATCTAAAGTTGTGACATTTGAAAAAATAAAAAATTTAAAGAACAGCTATTTTACTGCCGATTATTAAACTGATAATAATAATTAAATAAATAATAATTACTATTATGACAGGTGGTGTCGGAGAAGTGTGATCATGTGCGCCCAATATGTTTTATGTGCGCACAATATGTTACTTAACATTAACAATATTGCAAAAGATTATAGAAAGTTTAGAAAATTTTCTTAAAAACACCAGTAAAAGTTGGAAATTTGTTTACGAAATAAATTTTGTTTTTTTTTTTAAACATTTCAATGTGGACAAGTTTGTTTGTATAAAACACCTTTATTGAGGGTTTCCGTAGTTGAACAAAATTTTACTTTATAAGGTGAAGTGGATTGACCTCTACGTCCATGCAAAAGGAACCCATGTTACGCGATGGACCAAAGTTTGAAACACAGAGCACGAGCGCCGTCAGTCCTTAATTTAAGATGTCCATGGCACACACCACGAATGAGTTAAAAAAAATCTGACTAAAAACGAAAAAATAAATGAACAAACAAACACATTAAATGGTTTACATTAATTAGTAGTTAAGTCTTTGTGTTCTTATAAAAACTTAAAAATATTAAGATTAAAGTTGGCTATAAACGAAAGCATATGTGTGTATGGTTACAAAACTAAATAATAACTATATCGTCGTGCATCAAAATATTTCGATCGTGCTGGTGTGTAGCAGATTTGAAACAAAAACTTTCTTATTTATTATAGATAAACAGCTGACCAAAAATACCTTAAATCATTGTTGTTATACAAAATTGTGCTGGCTAAATCCGCTTTTGAAATGTCGAGGGAAGCAATAGAAAATTTTTGAAAATAGAATCATTTGGGGATTGAATTTTAACAAAAAAAAATTATTGGGTTCTATGCCAATTTTATTGAGACATCATTCAAATTAATAATCATTTACTGATTATTTTTACGTCTGGAAAATGTCATTGGACAATGTTGTTCATTTATAACTGTGTTGAAAAGATCACAACCAAAACAGAAACGGCAATGGGCCATTTCAATAGTGCCGATCAGCTATCTAACTAATAACTAATAATTAGTTAACTAATGATATCAATATTATTCATCTCTCTATTTCGTCATTTAAACAAACTTATCTCTGAACCCAGGCATCAGGTTTGTCTGCGCGTTTCGTCTCATAGATTTTTCAGACGTGCTTCAATCATTGGGCATCTTCAGAACTACAAATCCCGTCAAACTCTTCAGGCTGCTCACAATCTTCTTAAGCGTCTGCATCGTTTCTGCGGGGTTTGTTTTTTTGGTAAGTTATTTTGTGCTACGTACGTACGTGTAAAAATAAAAAAAAAGGTTAAAAGACGACGTTTTATTACCAAATTTAAAAAAGAAATTCATAAAATGAAATAATTGTCAGTTGGAGAACTCTGGCGATCCGTTCCGCTGCTACTCCAACTCGCAGTATTTATCAATTTGGAACAGCCTCTATTTCATTTTCATCACTCTGTCCACTGTTGGCTACGGAGATATTTTGTGTTACACAGTGCTTGGGAGGGTATTTATCTGCATCTTCATCGTAGGAGCCATTGTGAGTCTGTGATTGTGATAGCAAGATGTGATGATGGTGATATGACAGATGATATGACGATGATGGTGTAAAGATAATAATAACGATGTCATTACTAAACAATCATTATTATCAAATAAAATAAAACAAATTATTGTTGTCATCACCCTCCATAAGAGCCTATTTGCCGGCTACATTCCTGAAATAATCGAAATTATGAGCGATTACAGAACGAAGTATGCCGTCGAATACAAGCGGGAAGGAGGCGTCAGGTCAGTCTTTCCACCTTTCCACCTTTCCATCTTTTTAGTTTTATATATTTCCATCTTTCTATCTTTATATTTTTCAATCATGCCATCTTTTTCAACGTTTATATTTTAATTGGCATACATTCAATTATCCGATGTCAAACTATCCTTCAGCTTAAAATAGTAATAAATTTTATATAAACTGTGAAGTACTTTTTTTACTGAAAAGTACTTTTTTATGAATGTACTTTTAAATTTGATAAAAGTTTAAATTTTTTATAAACTAAATAATACTCATCATACTTTGTTTCGGCAAGCATTCATTCAGTTTTTCCCTGATTTTCCAAATTCCAAGCTCCATCGGTGAACGTACCACCTCAAAAGTTTATTTTCTGCAGCTGAACTTTTATGAACACCATTCTACGAGTCAACAAATTTCCAAATGTTCTGCGAACTTTCACAGCTATTACGCCCCACATCACACCTTCCATTTCATCTATCCATACCTTATTTTGCATTATACGACCCACTCATTGATTAATATGCAAGTGCCATTTTTCTTAACATTTAGGTTCTTGCCTGGCAGATGAACACTTTAACAAACCAGGTCACACAAAAAACCCAATTTTCCAAATGAGCTGCCTTGACGATTTACTGAAAAATAAAATTTTGTGTTCATCAGGCAATTTTGACTGATGTGTCTTTACTATTTAGATGCAACTTCTGTGTCCCAGCCAGACTGACCAGTGACCACTTACTCATCTGCACGCACGCGCAAGCACAAATGAACACTACTCACACGAGATGCATGTGGTGGTTTATGCGTCTTAAATTAATTGCATACACCATTCAAAGCATAATTATTTAAGAGTTACACATTATTTTTAACTACAGTCACCAACACATGATTTGTTGCAGACACTTGATCGTTGGAGGGCACATATCGTTCAGCACAGTGAGCAGCTTGATGCGAAACTTCACGCACAACGATCGACTCAACCAAAACCTCAAATGTGTCATACTTGATGAGTTAGTAATTTATTATAATTTATATGATTAAGTTAGTGAAAGTTGCAACGAACTAACGCTATATGATAATTTTCATTGGTCAATATCTTTCTCGACGATATAAATTATGGTCAGGTAACAAAATGTGGTTTTTGAAAATTATCGCGTTAATATATATACATATATATATTTTTTTATTGAAATTGTTAAAATTTGTCAAAAATGTTGAAAAAAGTTTGCAATAAGTCATTTTACTTACGAACAATCTCACCATAATATATATATATATATATATATATATATATATATATATATACTGTTTGCAAGTGAGGAACCGTCGATGGAGTTGGAAACACTGTACAAACGTTACTACAACTACATAGTGTTCGTGAAGGGCTCCATGATGGCGATCAAGAACTTGAAAAGTGTCAGGGTGAGTTACATGGCATGACACGCTACAAGTTAAATATCATTTGGTTGAGGATAATAATGTCACAAAAATTTAGTTCACGAAGATAATTGTTCAAACTTTGGATTCCATATATGATGATTTAGTTTTAATGTGATATTATTAATGTTATATTATTAATATTAATTAATTATAATAATAATATTAATATTATTAATATTAATGTTATATATGCAACATTACATTAATGTAACGTGTAGCTTCATGTTTTTTGTTATGCCATGTTAATGTGACATGACATTTTAATGTAATCCCTCAAATTAAAGTAACATAGTAACATTGTTTCGTGTAATATTTTATTAACATCACATCACATAAATGTAATGTCATATTATTGCCACGTTACGTCATTCTGACGTCACAGCTTGCTCAGGCGGATGTTGTCCTTATACTCACCAACCAGTCCGCTGTTTGCGCCGATACCGAAGATACGAGTAACTATAATATTCTGACGATGACGCAATTACGACGAAGATGATGACGATGATGACGGTGATGGTTGACGGTGTGAATGATGGTAGAGACAATAATGACGTACATAAAGATGATGATGTGGATGGTGAACACGGTATGGGTGATTGTAAAAGTCGAGATTGCCTCCACCAAAACAGAGAACATAATGAAAGCCATCGCAGTGAAGAATTATTTCTCCGATTCTAGAATAATACTTCAATTATTAAAAGCCGAAAACAAGGTAGGGCGCTATTAAAAAGAAAAAATAGTAAAATTTTCGTATTAGAAAATAAAAAAGTTTTAAGAGATATTAATGATAATTAAATTATACATATATGGAAAATTTGACCAGACAATCTGCAAGAACCTTCCATTTTGGACGAGTAGTGACCACATAATCTGCTTCACTGAGATGAAGATGGCCTTCATGGCAGCTGGATGTCTCGCTCCTGGCTTCTCCACCTTCCTATCCAATCTCTTGTTCATGTTTTCCTACAGTAAAAAAGTTGGTAACAACAATTACTTTGAAATTTTCTTGGCGATATTTTTTCCCGGTGTCAATTTTAAAGGTGTAGAAGCCGTTGAAAAATGAAGAAACAGAGTCCTATTGATTTATTTTAATTTTAAACATTCAACGTGAAGATAAGTGACTCAGAGACAATAGCCCACTCACTTGCCGTGCCTCAAATGCCGTCCCGCCTACTCTACTCAATTTTTAAAATATTTATCTGTAAAAACTAAATTGAGTTTTTAAAATTTAACAAACAATTATTCAAATAATTTATAAATTTTTATTTAAAACAACTATTATTTGACATATTTTTGTTTTTTTTTCTATGCAAAAGAACAATTTAGCTGAATGGCAGAACGAATATTTGAAGGGAGTTGACATGGAGGTGTACACTGAGAGGTTCTCAGCGTTTTTCTACGGAAGACCCATCCACGAAGTTGTCGAGTAGGTAATGTTAGACTTCTGTGTCCCATGCAATTGAAATTGTTTTTTCTGCTGAACATTTGCATTTCCTTTCTTCATGTCTTACCGAAGTAAACTTTTTGGTATCCTACGATGTATTAACGATTAATGCAATAAGGACAATTTATTGATTTTTTTTAGATACAGATAATATCTTAGTGAAATAAATAGACAAATTAAAATTATTGTATAATACGTACATGCAATTAAAAGTTGGTTGAATGGGACTAACAACAAATGATCATTCAGTTTAAACATAAAATAATGATGTTTTTGTGTCAATGCCGTTTGTAAATAAAACAACAATATGATGTTTAAAATTGAATCACTCGAAATCACCGCCACCGCCACTACCACCACCAGCTTCTGCTACACCAAACTCCGCCTGCTTCTTGTGGCTGTTGAGGAAGATTGTGCTAATGTGGCTGGCAATGTGAGAGCAAGATCGAGGTTGCGTTGTCAGATAATCGAAATTTTTCGTTTGTTCAGCTTTAAAAATTATCCTTTTAAATCTCTTTCAGTGAATTTAATTTTGTCGTCGAAACAAGTTGTAATTTTTAATATTAATGATGCATTTTGCACTGCTTGATATCGCTAACTATAATGAGGCTGCCACGAAATCAGCGTAAAAATTGTTCTTTACCGACGTTGTTGAAACAAGTTGTTCATGCTACATACGCATCCGTGCGTTGTTGGCATTGGAACAAGGTGAGTGTGCCTGATAACTTGAGCGTTCTTTTCTTACTAAATTAACTTTCTAACCAAAATTTAACTTTAGTATTTGAAAAATTGAGGATCGTTTAAAAATCATTTCAGAATCATCCTCAATGCAGACAAGCAGAACGTGATCAGCTCGAACACAGTTGGTTTCTTCATATGTGCCAACCAGCAGTTGGTTCAATCGGTCCTCCACTACTGTTTGAGGTGTCACTCGAACAAGCCAGCCCACCAAATAAAACGATGTTCTTGCCCAACGACGCAGGCTCCCTGTATGTAGAAAATTTTCTCATTTTGCGATTCACTGTCGTCTGTGAATGTGCTTGCTGTCTTTTAAGTGGCGTCAGCATGTTTCTGACGAATGCTGATTTGTTCAACAATGTCATTGGTCTTATAATTTTTAACGAAAATATTTTCAAACTAACTAGTATTTTGTGCAAATGGATGTGTTTACTACGTTGCAAGAATTAAAATGTAACGGTAATGTTCCTTCAACAGACAAACTTTTACTGAAAACTGAGAAACAACACAGCATCAAGTAGGTGCCTGATGCATGCCAAATATTGAACAATTATTATTTAAAGTACGGTAGACAAAATAAATGAAATTGGAGTGAAAAATTTAAATTGCTGTCAATGTCAGTTCATATTTATTTTATATAAAAAATAACATGCTTGAAAAACCATCGTTATATTTAGATAAACTCAATTTGGATAAGGGGTGTGCAACTTTTTTCAGTCGCGGGCCACTTTCAATGCAAGAGAACACTGTGAGGGCAGTCATCGTCGACAAAATATATTTCACGATGAATTTATACATGATGTAAAAGCATGCATATATATATATATATATATATATATATATATATATATATATATATATATATATATTTACAATATTCCATAAATTCTACCGAATGTTTGGCGTTAATATGTTTGTAGTTCGTTTTTTCGATCTCTATCGATGAAGAAAAGGAGACCAAAGAAGATGACCAGCCAATAAAGAAACCTGACACCTAATTCGCATCAAAGTTCAACTTTACAACACCAAAGTTAATTTTTACAACGTCAAAGTTCATCTTGACAAAGTCAATATTTCCCTATATATACATCAAGGAGCACTGATGATGATTCATTCGGAATCGAAATATGGCCTTATTTGCAGCAAGAATTCGAAAAATAAGTTTATTTTGAATTTTAATAAACTAAACGTTCACCAAAAAACTTTAGTGAGAAAAATCGAAAAAACGAACTACAAACTTATTAACGCCAAACATTCGGTAGAATTTATAGAATATTGTAAAAATTATGGTCTATTACCAACATATATATATATACGTTGGGCTACGTTGTATTTCCTATCCAGTGTACGTCAGTCCTATCAAGGTCGCCGGTCCACATCTGGAGTTGTCCGCCACAACCCTCTGATCAGTCTTGCGTCAAAAGGACGCCAGACTGATCAGAAGGAAAGCAGATGGCAAGAGACATGACAGCAGATGGCCTCACGTACCATTTGCACCTTTCATACCTTACATAGATATCTTTTATTTTATGATTTTTATTATTAAAAATATGAATATTTATAAATTTATAACAAAAAATTATTAATCAAAAAAATGTGCCACTTTATAACACATCTAAGATTGATTTCTTCATCATCATAAACGGTAAATTTTTTATTATTAACATTTAAAATCATAGAAATTACCAGAAAACTTAAGCATCATAGATTATTTTAACAATTTCACTAAATTAATGTTTTAAAATAGTGATATATCAACTAAGAAACGTGAATAAAATAAATAAACCAAGTGAATTACCAAATTATTTTGTCATATAAATTTAAACACTTAATAAAATATCAAAATTAAAAGCTAAAATTAAATCTAATGTCATTAAAATGAGTTATATTATGAACAAAAATTGTCTAGAACTCTAAAACTACATGTTATTTTCACTATTCTATTTACACCAAAATTAAAAGCTAAAATTAAATCTAATGTCATTAAAATGAGTTATATTATGAACAAAAATTGTCTAGAACTCTAAAACTACATGTTATTTTCACTATTCTATTTACACCACTTGGACATACAAAATTTTGAGAGTTTGTATTTAAGTAAGATGAATGATAAATGAAACTTTATTCAAATCGTTTTAAAAATTTTGAAATTTATTTCCGGGGAACCACTTAAAACGGTTTGGCGGACCGGGTTGTGGCTTGCGGGCCTCCAGTTGCACATCCCTGATTTAGACAATAAATAAAATTATTTTTCACTAACTTCACTTTGAATCAATTGCAAAACTATGTTTGATTTTATGTCATTTTATCACTTCATAGCAGGGCAGGTTTAAAAGCTGATGTTCAAATCGACATTCAAAGCATTCCATCAGTCAGGTTCTTGGACGAAAACAATGTGGCCATTCCAGAGGGGGTATCCAGCGAAGCATTAGTGAAATCATCCACTAACAGCCTGCCTTCCTTCCTCCCTAACCCTAAGGGGTTAGCACCGTCAGCAGCCTCATCTCAGTTGACTCCATCTTCGTCGTCGTCGTCATCGCAGCCGTCTACATCGATGGATGGAGAATCTCCACCAGTTTCGAATGATGTTGAACAGTTTGATGTCACGGGATATTTTTTCTGGTGTCCAGCAAGAAGCATCGATGAATGTTTGCTGGTCAGTTTGCGATACGAATCTATAAATTTTCGATTTCAACCAGACACCTCAAAATTTTTGTTAGTTATCGTTAACATTGAACTGACTTTTTATTAAATCGCTCGAAACTGTACTCAATCGTGCACCACTATTTAAAATACGTGTTTTAATGGATCAAAATACCAGCAAGTTGGCTAATTTAACTTTCTAAACTTTCATTTTTTGACCAACTTTCATATTTCATTCAACCATATTTTTTTCATTTATTTCAGACAAATTATTATTTTATTTATTTTATTATTTGCAGAGCTCAGCTGAAAATGAGGACGTGTTGAAAACTTTGAAGGACCACATCATATTGTGCTGGTCTCATCAGTCTCAGGTCGATCAGTTCAATTAAACAAAACCATCAATAAGATATATTTTCATGTTACATATTTTCAAACCGAAAAAATATATTATTGTATATAAATATAAGCAGTTTATAAATAAAAATTCATTCAGATTAAATAAATCGTAACAAATCCGAATAGTAAACTACAAATTTTTCTAGGGTTCGCTTCGTAGCTTCATCCTTCCCTTGAGGTCAAGTTCTTTGACGAGCTCAGAACTGCATACGTTAGTGATTGTAACAGAATCGGCAGATTTCTTAGAACAAGAGTGGCACTCGATTTGCAACTTTCCAAAGTTGTACGTCAAAATTGTTAGTTTGCTATGGATAATGTCAATATTTTCTGGGAAGTTTTAGATTATGGAAGAATAAAAAACGCAGAAGATACAATTTACGTCAATTAAGCGATTTAAAACAATTAATTTTTGTTTTTCTCACAACATTTGATAATGCCTATTTAATAAAACAAACAAGTAAAAGACAAAATACATCGAAGAAACAGCATTTTAGTGAAAAATAAAAATCTGAACAAAACGACTACAGGGCTCTCCGCTTTGTAGAGGCGTTTTAAGAAGTATCAACATCGAGAAGTGCCACATGTGTGTCGTACACTCGGTTCAGACAAGCACAGCCAGCTCCATTTTTGCCGATGTTTCATCAGTGGAAGACAATAACTTTTCAGCATTTCAGGATGACAGCAAGGCTCTGCTGATAACGTTGAACATAAAGAACATGTCGTACAGAGATATTTTCAACAAATACACTAGTGTCACGTTTGACATGTTCAATGCCATGCTCGATGAAGGATACAAATCCGACTCAAGTGAAACAAATAACCACTGTTCTAAATTTCATTATTCATGAGTTGCTAAGACATTTAAAAATTTCTACTAAACGAGCTCTGTAAACTGGTGAAATTACTGGAGTTTGCTTGCTCGTTGCTTACAATTTCTTTGTTGACATGCGTCGTGCTTTTTTGAAAGTGTAAAATATTTTTCTGAGACATTAACAAAGTCAATTGTAACAAACAGTTTTGAATTCAGAAAGGGAAAATGCATTGGATGCTGGCTCGTCAACATCCATACCTTTGCTTACAGAACTAAGTACGTACAAGACCTTTTGTCATTTCCTGAGATTCTAACGTAAAATTTCAAACTTTTATTACCAGTTTTATGAAAATAATTTTAAAAAGTTATATTTTTTTTAGTTTGCAGACTACCATGTTTTTTTCCTTTTGATCAAAAAAATTAATTTACAAAACAGCAAATGACGAGAACGTGCAGTTCATAGACCAGGACGATGACGACGACCCAGACACTCCATTCCACCTCACTCAACCATTTGCATGTGGGAGAGCATTTGCAGCCAGGGTCTTGGATGCTTTATCAACTACTGTAATTATGAATTTCAAATTTTATTTGTAGGTTAATATGAATGAATACATGTTTTTATTTTCAAATGACATCACTTAACGAGGGCTTACCGCATTTCAATTCGCACACACCTCGTTCAGAAACATTTTCGTGATAAAATTTTAAAACTTTCCAATTTTTAATAGTTTTTATTTAGTGCTGATGCACTTCGATTTTTCAAAACACGTTTCAAAATAGTTTTCTAGGTTAAAATTTAACAAAATTGTTTAAAGTATCAAATATCAAACAAAAGCAAAACTTAATTTTTAGTTTGGATTGATGGTTTAAATTTAATCTAGATTTTGTCATTCACTTACAGCCACTAAATCAAAACTTGTATAAATACTTCAAACAATTGAATGAAGATGATCTTCAACCCGGAGACCTACGACCTGATACGTTTGTTCGTGACCGGCACAGACACCGAGGAACATGATCATCTGATGGCTGAAGGATTCACTGAACAGAGTTGCCAGATGTCTGCCGAACAACTGAAGACCATTAGAAATCGATCTCGATTGAGCTTGCTGCCCGTTGACCGCGGGATCTTGAGGAATTATCTTGTATGTTTTTGTATGGTTATGAAAATTAACGCTTCAACATTTTAATATTAATAATACTGATTTTAAAATCACAGTCAATGTTTCTTAAGCGTTTATAATTAAGTCCACGTTTCATTCAGATAGCCAATAATACGTAAAAACATTGCAGCCGCATCTGAGCCACAACATTGCTAGCTGTTTTTTTTTCAAATTTATGATTCCTACCTGTTTTTTGAAATTCTAATAAATTACCACTCAGTTTTTAATTTTGAAAAATTTGGCATTATCTAGTGTGTTTCGTGATATTTTAATTCCTTGTTAATCTGCGTTTTACGTGCTTTTTGTTGTTAATGAACTTCGTTGCAAAGTGACTGCTGTTTTTTGTCGCCCCTCATCTTAACGAACCATTCCTCTCAACCAGCAATCTGAACTGTTGATCAGTATTTGCAGTGTTCGATGCTAAAATGAACTTTTTCCAAAAGCTGTTCACAATGGTTTCCTAAAATTTCTGGATGAGATTAACTGAAGGACAATAACAGCTTGAATTTACGCAAGCATTACAACAACCAAACCTGTACCTGCCTGCACAAAAAGAATGAGTAAATTAAATTGAGAGAAACAGTAACAGCATTAATGATAAATATATAATTGAATCACTCCATTTCTTTGTCACACTCCCAACACAACGCAAAACAAACAGCAGGAGACGTTCGAATACATGTTCACAAACTCCCTCTTCAACCACGGCATCCTCTGCATCGGTATATACCGACTGATCAGCATTACCGACCCGAACAATCGGTTCATCATTGCCAACCCACCCCCAGACATGCAGCTCAAAAGTTCCGACAAGGTTAGCCCAGATAGATGATGAGGTGATAGTATGAAATTGATAAAGTCAATGTACTTGTTTTGAATGAAATATTTATTGATTGTTCAATTCATGTTGATTTGTAAACACGATGGTGATAACTAAACAACAACGCCGTAGAGAAATTAATATGCTATAATTATAAGTATATATTTTTTATCACCACCCTATTTTGACTCACTCCACCACCATTTTAAACGCCGCAGATTTATTGTCTGTGCCCTCATGCAGTCTGCGCATAGAATGCGTTCAGAGAAGAACTGAACCAACGACCAACATATCTATTGATACATTGTACATTTGTCTGGCGTTGCACGCTCTTGACTACTTGCTACAGAACATGTGCTGATAGATTTTTGTGTTTGTTTATGACTTTTTTTAACCTGAAACAAGAAATTGTTTTTGTTTTTTAGTTTTGTTAGAAATTGTCAGCATAAATTAAAATAATTTTTCATTTTTAACTCATTATTTGGTAAATGTTTCAATGGAGGAGCGTGAAATATACTAATATGAACTGTTAACTACTTGCTAACAAAAAATGACAAACAACATCTAACCATTATTAATGAAATTTAATGTTAACATAACTAATTTATATAATAAAAATTATGAAAAACTATCGTTCGAATTAAGAAATTGACATTTTTACCATGGGGAATATTGTTTACCCAATTGTTGAACATGGATGAAGACATGTGAAATCATTTAATGTGATTGGGCAGTCACGCATCGAGTTGCGCTTACTATTAAAAAAAAAACAAAGATTCGACAGTTCTCCATCATCAACCAGCCTTGCTCATGGAGCTGTACGTGTGCGACTTGCGGAAATTATTGAAGAATCAATCACACGCGTATTATGTTAAATACATTACGATATTTTTCTACAATTTCTATCTGTAATAATTATTGAAGTGTAATATAACAGGTTCTATAAAAGCGACGTGCATTAAATTGTCATTTAACAAATAACAAAATGTGAAATCAATCAAACTTTTTTAAAATTTGTATTTGATGTTTTCATTTCCAAAATTTTCAATTATTGAACGTTTTGATTGCAAGTTATCATCTGAAATGTTCCGAATTGTTTTAGAAGGTTCTAAAATGTTCAGAATTAGCTTCAATTTGGTTATAAAACTTTCAAAATAAACAACGTCAAAACACAACAACACCGTTATTAACATTTTATCGTTGTATTAGCTTAAATAATAATTTAAAAAATAAAAACATTCCTCTTAAAAAGACTTTGACTACTGCTACTGCTACTACTACTGCTTCTACTGCTACTACTACCACTACTACTACAGCTTTAAAATAGCAACATAGTTAGAATAGCAGAGGACAATAACATGTGGCAAGGCACTGCTATTAATAAATCTTGTTAATATTAGTTTTGACGCTTATCATGCTGATCATTAAGATGATTAATGTCATGACGATGATGACGACGTGATGATGATAATGAGAAGAAGGATAGTTGTGATTATGATTATGATGATGATAGTTAAAATGATGATGGTGATGATGGTGGTGGTGATGGTGGTGATGATAACGATGTCGTCCATGTCGATGATGACAACCGCAGTTTTATTTTGATCAAATTTTTTTTCCCTGTGGTCATTCAACGTTTCCTATTCTTAAGTTACAATAAAATTACATTAGATTTTAATTGGACTCTTAGATCCTCCATCTGTCTTAAATTTCGATGAAAATATTTAAGCATGATTGTGTCTATGTGTCTGTTTGTGTGTGTACGTGCGTGCGTGTGTGCGTGTGTGTGTGTGTGTGTGTGTGTGTGATGTGTGTACTACATAATATAAAATAGTGAATAAAAAGTAAACCGTTTCAAAAGAATATTTTATTTCATATTTATCATGCATGTTTGCAAGGGATTGCTGCTTCATTATCTAGCTATTAAACTATTATTATTATTTTATATTATTATTATTATTCTAATTATATGATTATTCTTTATTATTATTGTTATATTATTCATAAATTACAATAATTAATTTACATTTACGATTTAGTTTCCAGATACCTATACATGTAAAATCGGATTAAACGGGAGCGTTTAGTAACAAGAATCACCGCAAAATTGAAAGTTTAAGTTGCAATTAACCTCACCTGGTCTGTGCGTATGCATGGAATAAGAAGATACGTTGTGATAATTATAATGAAAGATATATGATGTAGTTTCATACAATGCAGACAATGATAACAATCTTAATGAATAATGATAATGAATAATGATAATGAAGATGATGATGACGACGATGATGAAGAAAATGAGGATGATAATAATGTTAACGATACTAGTTATTTGATTTGATTACAGAATAACCAAAATTGTTGAAATGTTAGAGGACAAAGTCAATAAGTAGCACAAAGAAACTTCAAATCATTTCAGATCCTAATATAATTTTACTCAACAACTGAACCAGTCAACACAAGCCTCTATTTTGAAATCTTTTGATTCCACTAAACGTATTACAATATCTATCATTTATCTATCTATATATCTATAGGTATCAACAGATATCTATGACGCAGGTCATAAACACGTGCTAAGAAATTAAATTCGTCATTTTCTCAGCTCTACGTGGAACACCTACTCTAACTTGCTGTTGGTGAAATTTTTTCAATTTCTATACATACATACAAATGCTGTTGGATCAACTTTTGCAATGTTTTGGAAAGCCGAAATATCGGGGCAGGCAAATTAAAAAAACTCTTCATGTAAACGCTTGAAAAATATAACAAACTTTATCAACAGTTGCATACCTATTTGTTTTAAAATATTGAAGGACAGAAACCGAAATACAGACTTGCCGTTACTCCAAAAAATGGCCGGCCTTATTTTTATACGTATGTTTGTGTGCTGTATTAAATGCATAAAACTGTTTTTTAAATATTTTTTTCAAATGTTTCATCAAAGGTTGGTATTTCAATTTAAAAGTTCAATAAAAGCCACATGTCATGTCATATGCGCGCTAATAAAAAGCGAATAATTTTGGATTATGCAGCAGCTGATGAATGTGCTCAACAATTGAAAATTAACAGAATGATTGCCGTCACAATAATCAGCTTCGTTTGTTTACTCACATGTGCTCGTGTGTGATTGTGTATGTGTATGTGTAGGTGTGTGTGTGTTTGTTTTTTTGTTTGGTTGTGTGTGAGAGAGAGTGTGTGTGTGCATGTGCGTGTGTGTGCGTGTGATTGAGAAGATTTTAATTTGTATATAAATCAGAGAGAAAGAGAGAGAGAGAGAGACACCACTGTGTTCTGTGCAATAACAAGAACGATTCATGCAAGTACTTCTTAGTAGTGTAAATAAAAATTAAACATTAAAACGTGATAACGGGCTATTTGTATAAATCAATAAAAGTTATGAAAAAGTGAGAGTCGATTATTTCATGTAGTTGTTAGCTTTTAAAAGTTTGAATTTATAGTTTTATGATTTAATTGCTGTTAGAAAATTTTTATTGCAAATAAAACCAATTAAAACAATGTTGCTGGCTAGATTTCATTCGAGGCAATATAACTGGAATAACAACAACTGAAAACGAAACGATGGACCAGAAATCGTCACTCACAAACACTTCAAAACTTGGCAGCACATCTGGAAACAATGAATTCGACTTATTTCAAGATGAAGCCAACTATTCCAGCACACCTGAAAACTGCCACAGACTTTGGCCGTACTCCGTCGTTCCGATAGTTTCAGTGTTCTTCGGCGGCATACTTATCATCATTTTCTTCCGAGCTCTGAGTAGAATTCACAAAAAAGTTCGATATCAGAATGGTAAACAATCGGAGCGCGTTTCGATGGGCGAGTATCAAAAGCCGACAACTGCACAAAGTTTGGCCGCTTACATCACCAGCGTTTCAAATTTAAGCGTCAACAACGATGAATATGAAGACGACGACGGTGAGTATGGAAGCAAAAAGGATGACGAAAACAATGGTGAGAATGTGATCAGTAGAGAGAATGAAATGAAGAAAGGAGTGTTGACGAGGGTGAAGATGTTTTTCGTTCATTTGATATCTGCCCAGTGCCGCAGTGGAATCATATTGGTCAGTCTGTTTGTCTCTTTCGTGCTCGTTGTCAGTTGACGTTTATGTTGTTAATGATCTTTTCAGTTTCTAACCCAATTAAGTATTTGTTAACACTTACAACTGCTTACGCTGATGAACTTTTATCGGCATTTTCAACTAACAACATTTTTATAAATCGTCCGAAGTTTCAACAACTTTTAAAATCGACGTAAAACTAAAACACTTAAATCCCATTACTGTGCCGATCTTAAAATAGGTCAGTTTCTCAGACAAATGATAATTAGTTTTCACTTACCTAGAGCTGATAATTTAATGGTTTGTTTTCATCCCATGACCTCCATCCGACCTGCAAGACAGATCTCAGTCTCGTGCATATTTTCCATCATATCTCTGGTCATCTACATTATCGATGCATCCAAGTCAGTCGTTATTTCGCTGTTGCATACGTTGCAAAACATGCACACATACACCAAACCATAAATCCGGATAGAAAAATTTAATGAACAATCAATATTTATGTAATTCATTTATTTATTACGCTTGTTTTATTGGTTTAACAACTCATCTAATTGACCTTAATAGCGCTATTTGTTGGTGGGTTCCACAGGGCTCCTCGATGAAGTTTACAATCCATAAGGGACTGAAAGTTAGTCTGAGAAGAAGTTAGACAATTGTAAAATGTTGAGTAAGATCAGAAACACCATAATGAGACGAGTTACAGAAATCCATTCGTGAAAAAACCAATGAAGCGTAATAAATGGTAAAAGAAGAGTAAGACCACAAAGCAGAAGTTTCTTCACATTTCATAGCTTAAAAGAAAAACACATTCAACATACGTTTCCAACTTTTTAATAGAAAAAAATTTAATTCCAACTCTAGAGAAAATCCAGTAGAGAAGGATTATTTTGTGAAATATTATCCAAGCGACATACTTGACTTGGTGTGCAACCTGTTCTTCTTGGTCCACTTCATTTTCAAGGTTGGTTCCAACAGATTTTTGGCAGCAATTGTAATATGATAACATGATGTTCAATTTAATAAATCGATCATTTATTATAATTGCTTAAATTCTCGTAGCTTAAACTTATATTTAATTCAACAAACATTCACTTAACTTATGATCAGAAATTGACAATTTTTTTAAAAGTTCATAGCGGCGAACGACAAGTTGAGGTTCTGGGTGGAGTTGACGACAGTGGTAGACATGGTGACCATTCCTCCCATGTTCGTGGCTCTCTACTTACACAAGTACTGGCTGGGTGAGTCAGTGGCACCGTCATCGTCATCATAACAATCATCGTCATCACCACACCATCATCACCTTCACCAACATCTTTCTCAGGGTTGAGGTTTGTGTGTGTCTTCCGGTTGTTGAACTTCAGTGACGTGTTGCAGTCTTTGTATCTTCTGAGGACGTCAAACCACATCCGATTGGTCGAACTGTTCAGCATGTTCATCTGTGTGTGGGTGGGTTCCGGAGGGTTCATCCATCTCGTTAGTTGCATGATCGGTTGAGTGATTGAATGACTGATAGTGTGATTAAATGATTGGTTGGTTGGTTGGCTGGTTGGTTGGTTGGTTGGTTGGCTGGCTGGTTGGCTGGTTGGTTGGTTGGTTGGTTGGTTGGTTGGTTGGTTGGTTGGTTGGTTGGTTGGTTGGATGGAAGTGTTGATTAATTTATAACTTGTTTCAATAATATTTTTAAAATGCTGAATGGGGTTTATTAGATGCTTGTTATTTTACAGTTTTCGAATCAAATCTTGGGTACATATTATAATCTACGACTTGATTCGCCTGTGTTTACAAAAAACAAATTTGCAATCACAAAATAGCAAACCGACAGTATCACTGGACACACACACACACAGACACACACATACACCCACACACGCAAACAAAACTGTCAAAGGTTGAAAACTCCGGCGATCCTTTCACATGTTACGACAACGTGCACAGGATATCATACTGGGAGAGCATGTACCTCGTCATAATCACCATGTCCACTGTCGGTTACGGAGATGAGTACTGTATAACTGTTCTCGGAAAGATTTTCATCGTTGTCTTCCTTTTTGGCGCGATAGTTAGTGCGTCGTGTGGTGATTTTGGTGGTTTGTCGTGTGGTGTGGCTTGTATGATGGGGCTTGTGTGGTGGGTTTATATGCGTTTTGTTGGGTTCCTCAACCGACATCTTCATCGCTGCATAGGCCATGTTTGCCAGCTCTGTTCCAGAAATCATCGAAATTTTTCATCATTCGAGGGACAAGTACATGCTCTGCTACAAAAAAGAACCTGGAGTTAGGTTAGGACCGAATGCTCTTCATAATTAGTATGTCATTTATAAAGAATTAAAGATTTATTCACTCTCTTATTTTTAATATAGATAATAATAAATTAATAACATGCAATTTATTAAAAATTTCGATGTTGATTCAATTTGTTGACGTTATTACTAATCAGTAATAACTTTATTATCAGCCAAACTTTTTTGCCTCACTTGAAGCTCAGTCACACCTTAGTAGTATTGTTAAGTGTTGAAATGAGTTAGTAGGAAGAGCTTGAGGAAATGTAATGTTACATAAATAATATTTCTTATTTTCTATTTGATGTTTGTAAATTTTCAATATTTTTTGCGAGTTTTTAAAATTTTGCTAAATTTTTTGTAATTTTTCGTAAATATATGTAATATTTTTTTAAAATTTTGTTATTGTTTGTTTATCTGTGTTCAATTTACTTACCTCTTTATACGATTTTTTTGTAATGTCTCCGTCGCCGGCTGATGCAGATGTACGGTGTCTCTAAGTTCAATAGCCATAAATTAACATTTAGATTTATAATTGACGAATAACTGGAGAGTATTATTGACATTTGCAATGGGATGTCTCCAACAATAGTTCAAATGAAACGAATAATAATAGCAGGACATGATGATTTTATTATTTTTCCAAAATAAATAATAAAAATAAATAAAATATTTTAGTAGGATTAAACTGTGAGTGCAATATTTTCTGGATAAATGAAGTAAATAAATGTAAGGCGTAGCTACGATTATTGTTTGTCGAGTGGCCGTAAGAATGGAAACAATAAAAATTAAAAAAATAAATACCGGCAATTAAACATATATGCAAATCAGACATACATACAAAGACATACATACACGCACAAACATATACAAATCAAACAGACATACAAAGACATACATACACGCACAAACATACACAAATCAGACATACATACAAAGACATACATACACGCACAAACATATACAAATCAGACAGACATACAAAAACATACATACACGTACAAACTTATATACAAATCAGACATACATACAAAGACATACATACACATACAAACTTATATACAAATCAGACATACATACAAATACATACGTACACGCACAAACATACATACAAATCAGACATACATACAAAGACGTACAAACATCGTTAGAAATTTAATTTGGATTACAATAATAACCTTAAAGATCATAACCTCTATAAAAGTTGTTTAATTTATTAAGTTTGAGACACCAGGAGTTGCATGTTTATTATATTAGAATGAACCAGTTTTATTCATTAATGAATTAGAGCCTAACAAACAAGCATTTTAATTTAAATATTTTTTCAGTTAGTTGCATCTGTGTTATTCTTGAAAGCTTTTTCTCAATATCTTTCATCAAACTTCATATCAATTAATACATAATTAAATATATAGCAATGAAAGCCAATAGCTTAAAATAAATTCTTTAGATCTTAACAAATTTTTTTTCAAACAAAACTACATACACCCGCACACAAACTCACGTGCAATGACTATCAAAAGTAAATGCAACGCAATGGAAACCAAATGACAGACACTTGATCGTTGGAGGCCATATCTCATTCCAAACAGTTGGCAACTTTGTAAGAAACTTCTCACACAATGACAGGCTGAATAAAAACTTAAAAAGTATTATTTTAGATGAGTTAGTATAATACGTACTGCTTGTTTCTATAATAATTTTTGAACGTTTTTTTAAAACGATCGTCTGCTGTCAAAACAGTTTTTAATGATTCGTCAGAAATTTAATCTCTCATTTTAAATGCTTCATCAAATAAGGCATTTCAATCTCAAAATAATTTTTGGATAATCATGTTTATTAGATATTTTAAAATATTATCTACCGACCAACCAAGCAACCCGCCATCCATCGAGTTGGAGTCCCTCTACAAACGTTACTACAATCAGATCCTCTTCATCAAGGGCTCCATCATGGTCATCAAGGATCTCAAACGAGCCAAGGTCGGCTTTGTATGTTCATTCAATTATTCATTTATGTTTTATTCATTCAATTGTAGTTACAATATTGCAAAAGAAGTAAATTATATTTCAATGATTCACATATAAATAAAACGTTTAATTACCTACTACTTTCGAATGGCATTGAATTATTTTTCATGTTTGAATTCATTCCGCCAAGTGTATGTTTTATTAAGTGACATTATTAATTATATTTAATTTATTTGTTTGGCACCTAACAACTCGATGTATTGTACCGTGCTGTACAGCTATCAAGTGCGGAGGCTGTGCTCATAATGACCAACCAATCGGCGCCCTCTGCAACTGAGGAAGACACAGGTAACCATTGCCATTCGCTGATTAATGAAAGTGTTTTTTTTTTATAAATGACATTTTAAAAAACTATTATTGAAAATTATAAAACTATAATTTAATATATAATTTCGCAAACTGCTCATTAATGCAATTTCCTTCAGACAACATCATGCGAGCAATTGCAGTAAAAAATTACTGTCCGAAAGCCAGAATCATCTTGCAACTCTTGAAAGCAGAAAATAAGGTAGGAAGACAAAAAATGTTAGCAGTTTGAACAAATAAGTTACAAACAATCTATAAAAATTTGTTGAGATAGTGTATACTTTAGCAAAAAATCAGTTATTTATTAATAGACTTTAAAACTGTTAAAATAAATTCATGAAAAAATAATTTTTTAACTTATGTCGCGTTTTCATCATATGATGAAACAGCACTAAAGTGATTCATGGATTTACGTAAAATGTTACCAGACGATATGCAAGAACCTGCCATTTTGGACGAGTAGAGATCACATAATCTGCTTCACTGAGATGAAGATGGCCTTCATGGCAGCTGGATGTCTCGCTCCTGGCTTCTCCACCTTTCTATCCAACCTTCTCCTCATGTTCTCTTACGATAAGAAGGTTGTAATTAGTGGAAATGTTAAACGTAATAAAGATTGATGAAAATGTTTTATGAAATAATCTTTCAAGATAAAAATAAGATGAAAATATAAAAATGTGCAAACATAAAAATATTTGCAAAATTTGTTTTTAATTTGTTATATAACAAAATTTTCACAGATAAAAAATCTCATCGAATGGCAGAATGATTATTTGAAAGGTGCTGAGATGGAAATTTACACGGAAAAGTTTTCTCCATTTTTCCGTAAGAAACCAGTCCATGAAGTTGTCAAGTAAGCCTCAAGTAGCGAAAATGAATATAAAATAGTTCGGTAATAACGATTGAAAAAATGACCAGTTTGAAGAACTCCGATAGAAATTATTTTAACTGAATAAGCCCAGTCATCGAGTTATAACTAAGTACTTAGGTTAAGGCACTCTTACAAAATAACAAAAACACAATAATATGCTCTTGAAGCGAATCCTGTCTTACGCACACACATGTATGTATCTCAATAAATTGATCACACCTATGATGATGTTGAAAATATTCTCTCTATATATGATTATATATATGAATAAGGTGTATCTATCTATAAGGTGTATTTAATTATCTAATATATTTTTAATCCTGATATTAAAATAGGAATATCATTGACCACTGGAGCGAGCGTTGAATGCACATGTAAAAATCTACGTTTAATAGATAGAAGCGAAATGTTGTAAAGTTTTTTTAATTTAAAATGTAAGTTAATTTAAATGTAAACATCTGAGTGCACACAAAATCGTCATCGTTTTTATCAGAGAGGTGAAACAGAGCAAACAAACTCGAGCAAATAATTAAGTACAAACAAATAAAATTGTTAACATTACGAAAAAGACAATGAATGAACTGAATGAATGTGTACTGTACAACGTACTGACGAACAATCGTTTTGTAATCTAAATTTAAATCAAAAGTTCAATGTGTGAATGCAAACAACACATCGCAAATAGTGAAATTTTAAAAATATGTGGATTCACTTGGTTTGCACGAAGTATGGTTGATTGAATTTAAAAAAACTTATTGCCACGAATCATGATGGCAATTTGGAAGGTTAAAGAAAGCCCACCTTAGAGGACATTGTACAAAACAGTGCGATCTTAATCTCTGAAATCAAGGAGGAATTGAAAAATTTAATTTTAGAAAAGAAGGTGGAGATAAGTTATCGAAAGTTAGCAAAAATCAGATTAAGGCGATGGAAAATGGCCGCAGAAGGGAAAAATGTTCTAAAGATATTCTAAAGCAAGTTTTGTGGTGGAAATCGGAGATTACCAGGGAGAAAGTTTTTTGACACCTCTTTGTCAAGCACTATCGTTAAACCGATGTAATGAAAATGATATTAAAATAGTTTTTAAGAACAGTTCTTTAAATTTTCTATTTGCATGTTTGAGTTGTGTTTACCTAATTTATCTTCAATTTAAGTCTACACATACAAAACATACAAATAGTTATATTAGTATGATGCTCTACTCCTTAACACGTAACCTAGATAAAATTCAATTGAAATGTAATTAGATAACATTGTAATTTGAAACAACAAAAGAGAAAAAATTTTTGTTCAAAGATTTTGCTACACAAAATTCCACATGTTGTTGTTGGCAGTTATGAACTCCGTGGACAGCAGAGGTGAAGTTAATACAAGGTAGGTAGGTTGGGTGGGTGGATAGGTAGGCTGGGTGGGTTGTTAGGTTTGTTTTGGGGCTCTATATGACTTCACGATGGTATTAAATATCATGTATTAGTTCACCCTCAACAACTCATATCACCGTTAACATTAATTTTGTCGAAACAATCATCAACGTCAATAATATAAACTTCATTTATTTGTTGAGCGATTTGAACTTTTTATTGTTTTTGAAAAGTTAAACTTATTCAGATTTTAATCGATCGAGTGAAATGTTTTAATAAAATTATTAAATCGCGAAAAAACCACCACAAGACCACAACATTCTGCCTGCCACCACTTCTACTTTCATCAATAACATCTCCAGATTGCTAATCAACTCGACATGCAACGACTCCTTCATCGGCCCGCAAACTCTCGGCTTCTTCATTTGCACGAACAAATCAAAGGCACGAATTGCGCTTCTCTACTGTTCCCAGTGCCACGAGAATTCTGCACCAACATTTACACGCATCAAGAAGTGCTCCTGTGTTCTTTCTGTTAAATTTCGTCAGTTAATCCAAATCTCATTTAAAGACATATTTTGAAAACTTATATTTAAATAACATATTCATAAAATGCTATACTGATGCCTGCATACATATTTGTCTGAGTTACAAGCTTATTTGCACACTAATCCAATCTCATGTCCGCTTACTCACTAGCAACAATTTTTGCCGATCATTCTGATGTTTGTTTAATTTAAATCAAAATTATTTAGTCCTAGCAAATGCGAAGCTTCTTAGAAATCCTTCTTGATGTACCTGCAAAATATGCAGTAGAATCCAGCGCCTCCGCCACCAAAGGACGTACACTCGCATCTTGTATGTACGAGTGCAAACCGTAATGCATGACAATTCATTGAATTTTGGGCAGACGACATTCGAACTAGGTAAGCGTGCAACAACGGCAAGGCGAAAAATGGCAATCCTGCCGTCTGAGCTAACTCGCCAAGCATTTAAATAAATATGTATTTATTTATCTATCTTTTTAAATTTTACAGATGATTTGTTGCTGCAATCCCAAGCAAATAAGTATGTAGACATATTCAAAAAATTTTAAAGTTAAATAATTACTTTAAAAAATTTATTTAATAACTTTGTCGACTGACACTTGGTTAAATTTTGATTTTTAAAATGTCAGCATGCCCAGGAACCATTCGAAAGAGTTGATGTCATCGTCGTCATCTCCGCTGATGCTTTCTCCATCGTTTCTGCTATCGTCCTCGTCACCACCTTCTGCACCTCACCTCACCCACACCTTATCATCGCAATCGTCACCATTCACGCATCTTCTCACCGACACGTTATCAGCTTCCTCTATGGCTGCTGAAGATTGCGATGATAGCAACTCCAATTCATCAAATCTCATGAAAGACGAGAGAACTGAGTATTTAAGCTGCGTTAATGACGAAGATGGTGAAGATAAAAGTGATGACGTTCTTTCAAAGGCCGCAAGAGGAATTGACCAAAGGAATGACGGGAAAGAGAGCGATGAAAACTTTGATGTGACCGGATATTTTCATTGGACACCTTCCAGGCGGCTCACAGACTGTTTGCTCGTAAGTTCACCGCTTGGTGGGTCTAAGGCGTGTATAATTAGCTGGTTGATCGACTGGTCAGTTGATCAAACTCTGAGTTGGTCCATTAAGTTACTGGTTGTTTGCTGGATAGTTAAATTATTATTGACTAATTATTTATTTGTATGTTGGCTCGATTAACATGGGATTAACAATCTTTTTTTAGTTTATTTAATTTTGTTAGGTTAGTTTGCGGATTCATTTGTTGAATTAATTGAATAATTAGTTAAGTTATATTATTTAAAATAAACATTTTATTTTAAAAGGACAGAAGAAAAAATCAGGATGTTTGTGACAAACTGGCCAACCACGTTGTTCTCTGTTTATCTCATCACTCGCAGGTTCCACAGCTCGTTTTGTTAAACTTCTCAGATCATGTCATAATTTCATACATAATTCAGCCATAAATTTATTTGCTAAACCATGTTCAAAAAATTTTTTAAGATAATTATTAGTTGAAATTTCACTATCGTTATTGCCCGTAACCAAACATGCGACACCCCATCACACAGTCTAACAACCTCGACGTTCTACAAATTTCAACCGACGCAAGTTTTAAAAACAAAACACGACACATTCATAAATGGAACTTGCAACCAGCACATGTTCATTGATTTTGACGAATTTTAATCGATTTGAAAAACTGCCTCCAGTGTTCCCTGAGAAGTTTCCTACTGCCGCTGAGAACGAGCAGTTTGAAGGGCGAGAACCTCAAGGCCGTAGTCATCGTGGCCAAGGAGCGAAGTTTCGTGGAAAGGGAATGGGCTCACATCTGTCATTTTCCTGCTGTTTACGTTAAAATAGTATGTAGTTTGTGTAGTGATAATCAAGTTGTGTGGTTATCGTTGTTAATATTGCTCGTTTGGTTCATCAGGTATGCGCAATGCTATTTTAGTTGCAGTCGGCATACACGTATGCACATTCACCGTCATTTTTGATCTCATCTTTCATATAAATTCTCTTTCCTCAAAGGGCTCTCCGTTGAATCGCGGTGTCTTAAGAAGCGTCCGCATCGAACGCTGTCACATGTGCGTCGTACATTCAGCGCAAAGAAACTCAACATTACTCCATTCATCAATGTTAACCTCACAACAATCGCTGCCTTTATCGCCACCACCAACGTCGTCATCATCACTGGCCACACACGACGACAGCAAAGCGCTGTTGATAACATTGAACATCAAAAACATGTCCTTCAAGAACGTTGAGCTGAAATATTCTGGCACTGGCTACGACATTCTGAGAAGATTCATCAGAGCCACGAAAAATTCTAGTATCTCAGGTATAGAGATGATGTTTGTGAAACTTATGTTGATGTTGTTGACGAGGCTTGCAATAACGCTGAATGTTTTTTTTGCTGTAGTTTTGTAATTTGTAGAAATAATAGCAGTGGTAAGCTTCAACAACATTGACCGTGATGACGAATAATGACAAAACTAATGACAAAATTTACAAGTGTTTGAATCGCTGGATTTGGACAATGAGATGAAATCCACCATTCCCATTCTAACCGAACTGCGTTAGTGATTAGTAGATACTTTGTTATATATTAAAAATATTTTTATCTATGCTCTAAATTGCCAAAAAATAATTTTGTTTGCTTAATATATATTAATTTCTGCAAACAAAAACTTGTTGAAAATTGTTGGACAGTGAAAGACGAGAACGTGCAGTTCATAGACCAGGACGATGAAGACGACCCAGACACTCCATTCCACCTCACTCAACCATTTGCATGTGGGAGAGCATTTGCATCCAGGGTCTTGGATGCTTTATCTATCACAGTAATTATTGGTTTTGTTATGAGAATCCAATTATTTAAAAAGAAAAACTTTTCTCGTATTTTTCTGTTTCCGGTTGAAATCATTTGTAAAATTTTGCTAAAATTAGCCCAGCGTTTCCACCGAGCTTTTGTCTTTTCATGGAGTCATGCATATTTTGATATGTGAATTCTTCCTGACAACTTTGTTCAATTTAAATTAAAAAGTCAATGTTGACATTATAAAATAGCAATAAATGATAAAAAGATAGTATCAGGCTAGCGATCAAGAAATAAAAAATTGTAAATATATTTAGTGTATAGCATGTCTTAAAAGTATGCTATATACCTACTGCATTCTATATTCTTGTTGGATGGTGGAATGTTTATTAATTATACTAAAAATGTGGTAAACGGTTTAATGTTATATTTTATCGTCCAAACTTCAAATTAGATAATTTTCAACCCGGAGACCTACGATCTTTTCCGAGTTTTCGTGACCGGCACAGACTCCGAGGAACATGACCATTTGATGGCTGAAGGATTTACAGAACAGAGTTGCCAGATGTCTGCTGAGCAACTGAAGACCATTAGAAATCGACCTCGGTTAAACTTGCTGCCTGTCAACACGGGAATATTAAAAGATCTTTCGGTTCGTTTTCTTACCTGCTGAGTAAGTCTCTATTGCTCATAAGCGCCTAACTTGATAATTTCAATGTATAACTTTTTTGCGGTCAAAATTTCAACTGCTTGTATAAATAAAAACATTTTTACGTAAAGACGAAAGTAAGCAAATACATTGCATATGCGGTGCGATCATATTTAAAATAAATTGCGTACCTCCGAAACACCACGCGGCGAAAATTGATGTGAAACGCTCGGAAGATAGTGCCTAAGCAAGGATGCTTATATTAAATATTGGCACATGTTGATACAGGAAGATACTTTTGGTCATCTTTTCACGAAATCTCTGTCCGTTCATGGCATCTTGTGCTTGGGACTGTACCGATTAGTAAACGTTTACGCGCGATCCACATCCGATCCGAATAACCGATTCGTCATCACCAACCCTTCTCCAGGAATGAAACTTCATTTCACCGATAAGGTTTGTTTACACTGTTTCTAATGAACTTCAACGAATTTTTATTTTTTTTAATTATTTTTTCTGTAAATTATTTTTTACAAGTTTATTTGAAGTCATATCACTAACGCAAATATGCAGGTTTATTGCATTTGTACGCAACCTACTGCTGATTGTTGAACAGCACCGTATCTGCCTGTAACCAGCTGGTATTACTAAGAATTACCTTGAAAGAGTTCATCAAAACCGAACGATTATTTTAAAAGTTTTGTTAAGAATAAAAATAATTCCTTCTTTTTTGTGGCTCCTAAAATGATTGCAATTATTTCATACGTTCAAATGCGTTTCTATAAATAATTTCATATGGAAAGTGTGTACCTTCTCTGTACTGTACATCCATGTGATAATTTTTTTTTTCTGTAAAAGTCAAAAATTCCGCCATATATATATACATACACACCGTGCATGGACTACGATGTACGTTCCAGTGCAAAAAAACCTCATGTATTATTTCATTATTTTTATTCAAAACAATTGTTTATACGGAAGAAATGCGGTAACGCGAATGAAGAAAAAAAGAAAGTTATACATGAAAAAAAAACCTTATGAAAGCGATGAATCATTGAGTGTTGATCAGTGAGGCACCAGTTTAACATTGGGGGGACCTGTTGTCTTCTATGTGGTCGTCAGAATTTTTATTGGTATATAATCAAATTTAATTTTAATAGTACAAATTTTGTGCTAGTTGCAGGAGATTTTACAATAACTTCTGAAGTTTGATATCTTAATAGTTTGAAATCTCGAAAGTGGTTAGCAAATTCAAACTTATATGTTTAAACATCAAAATTATTAATATTAAGCCGAATATAAAGCCAGTTACAAATGTACGACTGTTTTGAAAGGTTGAAAATTTATAATTAGGCCTAACGCTTGTAAGGGAGATGCAAATATTGAATGAAATATATTTTCAGAGTTCCATTCAATTCAGAATGAAATTTCATTTAAATAATAAAAATATTTTCAATTTATTTATTTAAATTTCAATTGGTCATAATTTTTATATTTGGTGCGTCTCTGGTTTAAATAAATTTAGCATGGGAATGGACATCAGTTCAACAAAGACGAAATTGCCAAAAATTAAAAATATAAACTGGACTAATGAAAAAAACTAATAAGAATCAACAGATCTACATTGAATAAAAATGTTCAATTAATGGTCGGGTTAAGCAGGTATATTGAGTAATGCAGAAACGATTGTTGTTAACTATTTACGTAGAATAGCTAGAAATCCTGCCACCTGTAAACTTTCATCCTGTTGAAATTGTTGCTATCAATGCCCATGGAGAGTTTCTCCGGAGTTCTATCAAATCTGTTTCTACCGTTGAAAATTTCAACTGAGTTTATGTGCTCATCAACATGTTCCGAACAATTGTTATAATTTGGACTCTTGCTGAAGTTTTTAATATTATTATTATTACTATTATTATTACTTTTATTATGATTACTATTATTATTATTATTACTTGGAGCGGTGTTGTACATATTGCTGTTTACAAAATGGGAGTTCAAAGCAGGTTGGTCGTTGGCAGCGAAATTGTTGCAATAAACGTCGCTAGAACGAATTGTCTTCGGGACAATTTTTGATTTTTCTTGCGTTACTAATACGGTCTTGGGTGGGGATGAAGACAAAGACGGCGATAACAAAGACATGGAATGAAAAAAACTGCCATCGTTGTTTTTACTGGTGAAGTTGGTGTTGTTGTTCGCGTTGTTATTGGTGTTGCTGTTGCAAAAAATCGTTGCACAAGGATCATTTTTTGGATCATGACCATGTGTGCTGCTAGATATGTTGTTTTCCTTTAGATTAACATCTTTACGTTTGTTGTTTTTTTTTACAAAACAGTTCATGCATAGATTAGATTTGCTGGCGTCAATGCTACTAACATCAAGTCCCTCAGCGTTAATGTTGTTGTTGTTGCTGCAATTGTTGTTGCTGTTGTTGTTTGAATAATTTTCATTTTTCGTTCTAACAGCACAGCGTCTGTAAATGAAGAAGCTAAAAATCGGCAGAAGCACCACAACAACAACAGTTAGGACTATGACGACAAACGCTGACAGTATGGCGAAATAAATGAAGGTGCTGTCGTTCATCTGTTGCTGCTGCTGCTGTTGGCGTCGCTGGTGGCCGTTCTCGAAAGGTTGAGCGTTTTGCGTCTTGTTTCGACTGCCGCCACTCATGAAGTTGTTGGGCATGTGGCTGCTGCTGCTGTTGTTAACGAGGTTGTTGACGCTGATGTTGCTCGGCCGTTTTGTTGTTTGTTTATTTTTTCTGGCACTGGCATATTTATTTTGATATTTTATTATTGGTGTTGTTCCGGTCACTATTTGCAGTACTGGTGGTGTTAATGTTGTTGGAGTTTCAATTAAATTATGATTTGACAACAAACTGTTCATACCGACATTGTTTCCATCCTCACTTCCATCATATTTTTTACCGCTCCCGTTTTTCCCAGTATAATCGGCATCATCATCTGCACCAACAAAACCATTTCCAATGTTTTCAACATTAAGATTATTGTTTTCTATTTCTTCGCCATCCTCCCTGCCACCAATCATATCATCTTTCTCAGTAAATTTCCTCCCATACTCGCTTTCGTCATCTCTCGATAGAGTGATATCGTTGAAATCGAATAAATTTTTAACACTGGAATCTCCGTCTAACATTGGAGAGCGGGATCTTGTTTTGAAACTTTTGAACCTTCTAATGAATTGTTTCTTCAATTTTGAAAGATGTTCATCCGTCAGGTCAATCTCGTAAAAATCTTTTGCCGCCAGGTCAACCACGCGCTGCCCTCTCATGTAAGATGGGTAGATGCATTTGTTCAGTTCCGCCAGGTTTTCATCTGCTGGTTGGTGCATGTCATCTTTTTGTTGATGTTGTTGAGTGTGCTGCTGTTGTTCAGTTTGACGATATGTTTGTTGTTGTTGTTGGTGATGTTGCAGAGATGGTTGTTTCTGATGTTGCAACATTTTTACTTCATTCAAGCCGTCCAGCCAAGCCTTCAGCCAGAGCATAGATGAGTTGCAGTACCAATCGTTACTTGATATTTTTAAATGGAACAAATTTGGCATCGATTCAACTACATTCAAACTTAAATATTTTAAATTGGTTTCTGACATATCTAACTCTCTCAAAGATTTCAATTCACCCCAAAATTTTACTTCGTTTGTCAATTGTTCCGCTAATGAGGAACTTTTAACCAATTTCAGATTTTGCAGATCAGCCAAACTTTTTGCCAACTTTTGGAAATTTTCAACTTCAACTTTTTTTGGCAGAAAAGATAAAGATAATTCTTTGAGTGCTGGCTTTAAACCTTCAAAACAAGCGACGCTGAGACTTTTGATTGGATTTCTATCTAGAACTACACTCTCTAAGGAACATTTCAAAAAAGATCCTTTAAATGTTTCTTTCGATAGAACGTTTTTAGTGAAGGCATTTGGTCCCAATTGCTCAATCTTGTTTCCAGATAAATCTAAATATTTTAACCTCGGTAGGCCGGTTTTGTCTCCTGTGGCGAAATTGTCAAGAGTTGAAATGATGTTATCGGCAAGATGCAGCGAGTGCAAGCGGTGAGCTTCAATCGTTTCCGACTGAATTTGGTTGATTTTATTTGAGCGGATGAATAGTCGAAGCAAATTTGGCGGGAGGTTCGATGGCATGGAGGCGAGGTTGTTGAAGTTGAGCCAGAGTTCTTTCAAGTAGGACATGTGACTGAATGTTTCTGCTTCTATAACTGAATAAAAACAACATTTATAACTTTCTTTGCTAGAAATTGAAACGTTGGACTGTAATGATGTTAACAATAGCGATTGCAACTTGAAAATGTAAAATGACAACCATAATTTTAATAATTATCAATAAAGAAAATGCAGACTAATTTAGCTTGCGTGCGCTTTCCGAATTTCATATAAATTGAAACAAAAATTTCTAATAATTTTCCACAAAATTCAGTTTTAAGAGTTTATTGCAGATCATCGGACAAACCGGTAATGTTGTTCCAGTCGAGCACGAGAACATTCATGTAGGGACATTCCTTGAATGAGAGCCTGCTCAGGACATTAATGTTGTTGTGACGAAGTTGCACGTAGCGAAGAGTGTTGGGCAAACCTCGCGGAACTTTGTTGAAATGACATCCGGAGAGATCGATGTAAGTTAGAGAGGTCGTGTGGAAATGAAATCGGATGCTGTCGGTCAGTGGATTGTTTTTCAAATCCTGGTTTTGTTTTTCAAAATGCTGCTTTTTTAATTTATGGGTGGTTACAAAATTGTACCACCATTCACTGTTCACCAAAATAAAATTCCTGTACATGTTTATTCATCAGTGTCTAAACCACACATTACCACATTATCACTGCCATCATCATTATCATATAGTCATCATTATCAACAGAGCCTCGTTGTCACCGTAATCGTATTGTCAACATCATATGCTTCATTCTATTTATTCACATCCTCATCGTTGCAGAGTCATCATCATTGTTGCATCAACATTATCACACCATCATCAAATCATCATCAAATCATCATCAAATCATCATCACATCATCACATCATCATCACATCATCATCACATCATCATCACATCATCACATCATCATCACATCAGCATCACATCATCATCAAATCATCATCACATCATCACATCATCATCACATCAGCATCACATCAGCACACAAATGGGCAATCTGAATTATTAAGTCATCTCCTCAGCCTGCCACCTAGCGACAAATGGCCTCCTGTGACAACGACAAATGCGTGATGTCACAAGCAAACAAAAATTTTCGATAATTTTTCTAAACCAAAAAATAAAAACGTAAAAATTAAAACAAATGAAAAATTAAGGTGGGCTATAAGTGGGGTTAATATTTTACGTATAAAAAATTCACAGCAAGACGGAACAGTAACTATCTTAAAGTCTACATAAATTAATTATTTTAAAAAACGCTGATAACCCAAAAAAAATTCATGTCAAAAGATTTGAAACACAGACTAGAGAAAAAAAAACCCCTGAATCATTTTAGAAAAAAATCTTACTAGTATTGCCTTATTAATTAGCTTTTGTTACTTTTGATATTTTCAGGTACATTCATATACATTAATTGTCTAATTCTTAATTAATTAAGAATTAATATATATGGGTACATTAAACAGAAGTTTCAGACCAAAGGGTAGTATTTAAGATATAGATTATTTCAGCTGCTCTATGTTCCACTGCTGGTGATGACCTATAAAATCAACTTGTTTTCTAATTTAAATGGTCCACGTTATAGCGATATGTAGCTGTCAGAATTTTTAAAATAAATTTGATCACTAAATAAAAATAATCTGCTCGAAGTATTTCAATGAAACTAGATTTAAACAAAAAACCAAGGTCATTACTTAAAATGTTAAAAACTTTAAACCAATACACTTACTTCAGCAGAACTCTTAGTAATTTGTACCATTAAATTAGTAGTAGAAAGAGCAGCAGTTGTAGCAGTAGTAACAGTAGTAGTAGTAGTAGTAGTAGTAGTAGTAGTAGTAGTAGTAGTAGTAGTAGTAGTAGTAGTAGTAGATCTGCAAGAAAAAAATAGCTGTCGTAAGGGAAGAAGCAGCATTATTCAGATTCTTTTTTAAATCTCAATCTTTTATTTATTTTTTCCATCTAAATTTGTACGTGCCTGCTTGGCATGCTATCAACTCTCATCTTCGTCCTCTTCATCATTATTCTTTTTGATTGTCATCATCAATTTTTATCATCTGCGTCGTCATCAATGAGTTTAGTTTATCATCATCAGCAGCAGCAACAACAAAAGCTGCAGCTTCTTTTTTATCTTTATGTTTGAAATTTTTCATTTTTTTTAATCGTCGGTGTCAATGTTACAAGTTTACAGTGTGCCACATTATCAACATTGGCCATCCTCATTGTGATCACTTTAGCTACTAATTTTTTATCACCTGGTAATCAAGATCATCATCTTCTTCATCGTCCTAATCGTCATTAATGTCATTTCTATAGCCATCTATCTACTCCACTGACGTCACTATACAAGTCACAATTCGTTTAATACACAATCAATGTCAACATTTTAATCTGGCGCTTTTTACCTCTCTTGCTGCTTTTTCTCTATTTTCTCTCTCTCTCTCTTCTCTCTTTCTTTCTCTTTTTTCTCTCTCTCTCTCTCTTTTTCTGTCTATTTAACTTTCTACTCACAACTCTATCATTATCTTCTCTATCATTTTTTATTTTTTTTCTTTCCCTATCCCAGTTTCTGTCTCTCTCTCTCTTTCTTTTTCTTTTTTTTTCTTTTCCTCTTTTGTTTTCTCTCTCTCTCTTTCTTTCTTTATTTCTTTTTCTCTCTTTCTCTCTCTCTCTCTCTCTATCTCTCTCTCTTTCTCCTTCCATATTTCAACACGTTCTCTTGCACATAACTTCTCATACGTACCTCATCTATTTCCAT